GCTGCGTATGACAGTTGACCGTCCTCCTCGAAGGGCTCTTTTCGCCCAACCATGTGAAGGGTGGAAGAGAGCCAGAGGTGGTCAAACAATGACTTGGCAGCGACGTATGAAAGCCATTACCAGCAAACTCAGCTGCGCTGGTCTTCCTGGACGCGCCGTCTTCCTGGATGGGAACCCCAAAACGGGCCACATCAATGGCTAGAGACATTTTCAGACATGGCCCAGTCGCGCCTTTAATGGCGCTCGTGCATTCAAGCTATTGCATTCAATGCATAGCCACCTTCACAATCCCTCAATTTATCACTCCACTCACAATGTTTTACGTACGCCCCAATTTATCATCTCCAGCCTCCAATGGGCAACAACCTACCCCCCAAATCATCAGTGAACAAAACTGCGGTAGCTACAACCACTGTACGACGAGTACGCGGTTATTAGAGCTAACAATGATGACGATGATGAATCCTAATGGCACTTGCAACTGCACTCGGAAATGGCCACCCCGTACAGCCGCCAAGGCCTGTCAACCATCTTGGATACCTTGGGAAGACTGAATGTCGGCAAAGCAGCAATAAGGTTTAGATGTTAAGGTGTGTATCCGTTTTATCTCGCATCCATATGGTTTTTCGCTGTAAACCAGGAAGTGCGATGAAACCACAAACAAACTGTTTTCGAAGACTTTGTTCTTCTCGCTTCTTGAAATAGCTAGTTTTGCCATAGGTATTCGGTCAAACCAGCTTTGAACGCTTTGATTTTGGCTTCGATTGAATGGGAGGAAGATAACTGAAATGTATCTCTTCCTCACTAACACAGAACCAAGTGGTGGAAAGCTGACACTTCTTGGTTTGAGATCTACTATACATGCACTCGATAAAAAGATGTTTATAAGAGTTACTATCTCACGCTATGATATTCTCATCCAGGATATTATTTCGCGAATTACCCTTCAGTAAAAGAAGGTGAGAACAGCATAGTTGCTGCCTTAATTCCATTAGCTTACACTTACACCTTGAAGTAGTCGTCATTTTACCCAGTTAAAGTGTAGTGTAACCGTTGAAGGTTTCTGCATCTTTAGGATCCTGTGGCATTAGCACTTGGTGATATTCGAAGTCGAACAAATTGGACTAAAGATAGCGGTCGGCAAAACGAAACTTTTTCAGTGTTGGCGCAGTTTTTGTTGCCAATGTTTAGACTCTTACGGGTTGAAGAACATTATTTTTCTACACGATACCTTCTCTGGTTCACTAAACTTTATGACGAATTAGAACGGCGGACCAAACAGTGTCAGCGTGGTCTGATTCACCACAAAAATTAAATTCCGGAAGGCAAGTAACCCTACTTCACTATTGCCTCCCATTCCAGTATTGAGCACCTTTTCTCGTAGGATTATAACGCCCAACTCACAAACGCCCAAATCCGTGATATTAGTTGACCGTTCACACAGTGTCTACTCAATGAGTGAGTAGGTCTCTAAACTTGGTCTACTTCATCGATAACATGACCTGCGTAGCTCCGTCTTCTACGCTGTCCAATTTATTTTTATCAGAACATCACGGCTTCATCCATCACAATACCTCTTTTCGTCTTCAAACTTTCCGCAAACCGTGCATTACTTTGCTGTGAAATTTAACATAGTTTAGCAAAATTAATACACAACAGTATGGGTTAGAGTAGCCTCTTTTGGCGGATATTCTCGCCGGGCGTAGAATGTGCAAAGTTGCTACCTTCTTAAACACAAAAATGCCGGTGGGAAGCCCAAAGATTCGACTGAATCCTCCTAAAATTTAGTAGAACTCTGTCAACACTAATTTGCATCTCGTCCTCTGGAACAAAAAGGATGGTTGTGGTATCTTTAAGCCAGGACTTTCTTATTCATCATCTGATAAACCCTGGTCTTAGTCAGTCTTTAAACATCTTTATCTACCACTCTAGCTGGTGAGTGCTCTTTTTGTGTAAATGAAATGGTCCCCATACGTTTCGCTTTAATGGAATCTTGGAACCTTCAAAAGATTCGGATAACGTTTCTGTGCCGCTGCCTTCTCTCTCTGAGGACAAGGTAATCGCTTCATTATTGATTATATTCTAGCGGTCTTTCTGCATTTAGCGATCTCCTAATCCGGTCCGCATGTTTCTTGATTGTTGTTGGGAAGTATTATATTCCAGGATCTCTGGTAAATGCCCTCAAAATGCCTGTTTCCGTATGTTTTGACATTCAGCGTAGATGTGGGGCAGTTGGTTTGTGGTTGAGTGTGAACTGTCATAGTAAAGCAGAACACCCTACACAATACTCCATTTGTTGAGAAGTCGCGATGAGGACCTTTCGATCAAATCTTGATAGGTACTAAACAGGTGACACACCAATTTTTATTCCTTTAACTCACTGGAGAATGAAATGAATCCAAAGTGACCGACTGATTGATTAAGTGAATAGAAGCCCTCTCGTTGGCCTGTTTCGTACGATAATTTAGACAAATATCCCACTTACATGGTTAGAGTTTTGAACCGTGCCACTTTCAGGGTTTTGCCGTGGACGACACAGGCGTTCCATAACTTTTTATAGCTAGCTTTCTTTGCCCTCACCCAGTTGCTTTTGTAAGTGGGTCACGTTCCTTCTTGCCCCTCGCGTAGTTTCCGATTGAAAACTTCAACCCACCAAGTACATCCGTTCACACAATTTATGATAAAACGATTTCGTAAGCAGAGAATTCAGTGATTAGATAGAGATGGGGAGCGATGATTCTAGGAAGCATCAGATTTGGTGAATCGTTCAGCTGTAAAAACCTTCCAGTGTCCATGTCACCCGAAGAAAGCACGAAGGCTCGGGTATTGTCTAGTTGTCCGAGCCTAGACAGGGGAAGTCAAGAGGCAGAGGTCGGGTTCAAACCACGGACATTCAATTCAGTAAGTTCTTCATCTACCCACTGAACTATCTCACCTTAGTTGACGAAACGTGATCCTCTCTAAGGAAGACTTCTTACTTGCTATGCACGAACTCACACTCGTTGGCTTTTGAGCTGGCAAACTCCTGAGGTTATTGGGTCCAGCATGTCAATGTATTGGTTTTAAAACCCATGTGGTCTGATTCACCACAAAAATTAAATTCCGGAAGGCAAGTAACCCTACTTCACTATTGCCTCCCATTCCAGTATTGAGCACCTTTTCTCGTAGGATTATAACGCCCAACTCACAAACGCCCAAATCCGTGATATTAGTTGACCGTTCACACAGTGTCTACTCAATGAGTGAGTAGGTCTCTAAACTTGGTCTACTTCATCGATAACATGACCTGCGTAGCTCCGTCTTCTACGCTGTCCAATTTATTTTTATCAGAACATCACGGCTTCATCCATCACAATACCTCTTTTCGTCTTCAAACTTTCCGCAAACCGTGCATTACTTTGCTGTGAAATTTAACATAGTTTAGCAAAATTAATACACAACAGTATGGGTTAGAGTAGCCTCTTTTGGCGGATATTCTCGCCGGGCGTAGAATGTGCAAAGTTGCTACCTTCTCAAACACAAAAATGCCGGTGGGAAGCCCAAAGATTCGACTGAATCCTCCTAAAATTTAGTAGAACTCTGTCAACACTAATTTGCATCTCGTCCTCTGGAACAAAAAGGATGGTTGTGGTATCTTTAAGCCAGGACTTTCTTATTCATCATCTGATAAACCCTGGTCTTAGTCAGTCTTTAAACATCTTTATCTACCACTCTAGCTGGTGAGTGCTCTTTTTGTGTAAATGAAATGGTCCCCATACGTTTCGCTTTAATGGAATCTTTCTTTCTTTCTGCATTTAGCGATCTCCTAATCCGGTCCGCATGTTTCTTGATTGTTGTTGGGAAGTATTATATTCCAGAATCTCTGGTAAATGCCCTCAAAATGCCTGTTTCCGTATGTTTTGACATTCAGCGTAGATGTGGGGCAGTTGGTTTGTGGTTGAGTGTGAACTGTCATAGTAAAGCAGAACACCCTACACAATACTCCATTTGTTGAGAAGTCGCGATGAGGACCTTTCGATCAAATCTTGATAGGTACTAAACAGGTGACACACCAGTTTTTATTCCTTTAACTCACTGGAGAATGAAATGAATCCAAAGTGACCGACTGATTGATTAAGTGAATAGAAGCCCTCTCGTTGGCCTGTTTCGTACGATAATTTAGACAAATATCCCACTTACATGGTTAGAGTTTTGAACCGTGCCACTTTCAGGGTTTTGCCGTGGACGACACAGGCGTTCCATAACTTTTTATAGCTAGCTTTCTTTGCCCTCACCCAGTTGCTTTTGTAAGTGGGTCACGTTCCTTCTTGCCCCTCGCGTAGTTTCCGATTGAAAACTTCAACCCACCAAGTACATCCGTTCACACAATTTATGATAAAACGATTTCGTAAGCAGAGAATTCAGTGATTAGATAGAGATGGGGAGCGATGATTCTAGGAAGGATTTGATTTGGTGAATCGTTCAGCTGTAAAAACCTTCCAGTGTCCATGTCACCCGAAGAAAGCACGAAGGCTCGGGTATTGCCTACCGAGCCTAGCCTAGACAGGGGAAGTCAAGAGGCAGAGGTCGGGTTCAAACCACGGACATTCAATTCAGTAAATTCTTCATCTACCCACTGAACTATCTCACCTTAGTTGACGAAACGTGATCCTCTCTAAGGAAGACTTCTTACTTGCTATGCACGAACTCACACTCGTTGGCTTTTGAGCTGGCAAACTCCTGAGGTTATTGGGTCCAGCATGTCAATGTATTGGTTTTAAAACCCATGTATTCAGTTGAAGGAAGAGCAATACAGCTATGTAAATCCTCAGAACCTAGCATATCCTTAGTTGATTTATGTGTGGATCTCTTGAATACACCTAGAACTGCCAATCTACATAATACGGCCGCTAAAGATACATGTGCAACGTGTTTGTATGAGAGCTACACAAATTCGACCCTTTGTTATCTGTCAAATCGAAAAAGACGTTATTCATTCATTTTTCTCCAGCCTAGGGACCATGTTATCTGTGGAACCCTATTTCACATCAGCCGGTGTCGGGAGTCGACCCATTGATATTGTCGATGAAGTTATTTGGACAACCGTAGATGAGGCATGGAATAACATCCAAAAGAATTCAAAAGTTTTTCAACCACATGCAGCTTCTGAAACTGATCTATCTGATTCTGTGAAAACCCTGCCAGTAACTCGTGTTTTGTTACTGTTCAAACATGGTTTAGTCTCTTGTGCAGATTCATTTATACAGTGTTACCGCACTTGGCATACTTCTCACCAGACAGGATCGACTCTCGCTTTTCGAAACGAATGGGGGTGAATTATTGGACGAATGGTCAGCTGGAAGCTGCCGCATAAGAACAATGCTAACTTCGCAAATTTCAGAGGAAGTGGTGTTCGTTTTGCTGATCAATGATCTTGGTAACTTCTCTTCCGCTTTCTCTTCGGTTGACTCAGTTCCCAGGAAAAGCCCACTATTTGTTGATCACTTCTTCAAGAAAACTGATCTTTCTGCAGAGTGTGGAGGCGAGTGACGGCTCCCGTGACTTCCATGTACTCGGTGGAAAGCTTTTGGCAGGACGTTCCGTGTGTTCCATAGTTTTCCAGGGTGAGTGAAATTCCAAGTTCCTCAGAACATTTCTACACTTCTGACTGTTGAAGGCTCATGAATGATTATTTTGTTTACCTTTTCCCTCAGATGCACAGACGCAGGAAACTTGGGTTGAAGTTTATCGATTACCTATTGATGGTTGGGTAAAAGAAATTGAAACAAAAATGGAACAAGAAAAGGATGAGGTGAGTTAAGCTCATTCGGTCGTTTTTACCGGATAGGGAGCAGGCCACTCAGGTATTTCATATCAGAACTTTTTTGAATAGCCAGACTGCCGAAGGACTGCCAATGTAGTATTTGAATTCAAGGGCTACCACGTTCAGTGATAGGGGTCTGGATGCGTATGTCAACCATCCTCAGGGATTGGGCCCACATGCTTCTTTTGTTTTGTGCTAGAGATACCACAAGAAATGGTGACAAAACTAAATCAAGGGAAGTTGTGTTTTTTTTATCCAGGCCTCTTATCCAGGTGTCCTGGAGGTGTAGGTACAAAAACCCATCTCTACCTTCAGATTAGGTAGTGTGTATGCTCAACAGTGTAACACTAGTGTTTTGGATCCGGTGTTGCTTTCCGTGTAATGATGACTGTTACTACTATCAGAGTTATTATTAGTAGTAGTGCCATTATTATTATCATCGTTGTTGCTCATGATTCCGGTGTTGTTATGATTGACACGGACATCCTCTTGTGGACTACTCATTGGTGTCCGGTGCTGTGATACCGCGTGACTTCAAAGATTGCCCTATTTGTTTTCTCAGCTAATAAATATTTCTGTTTCTCACGATACCGATGGTCATGACACGCTTCAGGCAAAAGTGAGAACACAAACTAATTGACATAGAAAAAAAGTTGCAAATTCAGGCAGAAAGCGACACATTTACATTTCAGATAGCAAATTGTTGTGTTGTTGTTTTCAGTCCAAAAGAGATGTCTTTCAAGTTTTTTTTTATTAGTGCAAGCTTGAGCGTTTATTTTGATCTCTTGCTTACGCTTTTGACAATTGCTATTATCCCTAAAGTGATTGGTCAGTCAGTCGGTGGGTCTCACCTGATTTGATTGGATAACAAGTCATCCACGAATTGACGTACTTAAGATGTCAGAGTTTCCACACATTGCCAAGATCATGCATCCGTAACATTTTTACCAGTGTCCAACAGTACAAGTGTTATCTTCGATTTTGTTAAAGCTTTTGCCAGCTGATCCAATCATCGAGGCTTGAGCCAGTACTTTTTGAATTCTCTTTCCTTTATCTTTACAGGAGGACCTAGGGCACAACATGCCAGGAGCTGATGAAGCAAAACAATCTCATTTAAGTCAAGCAACCTTGGTTTGCAAAATCGGACCACCATCCCGGCTAACAGGTATGTTTGATCTAAATAAAGTTTGTTAGATCGCAAACTGGTTAATGCATAGAAATCGGCGTGCAATACTTGGGCACATTTACTGAAAGTCGATGCCAGTTTCATTTGGCTCCTTGATTTGCGCGGAAAGGTGGGCATAGTCTCCTCAGGGAAATCATCATCATCATTATCATTATCAGCTGTGAGAACTGTGTACTTGTCGTACAACAGTGGTAGCTGTGACGGTTTCTTTCACCGATGATTTGGGGAAGTGGGGTAGGTAGCTACGCATTGGAAGCAAGAAATGATAAATGGGTGCGTAGAAAGAGGACTATTAATTGGGTGGATTGGGAAGGGAGCAGTGCGCTGAAGGCAATAGCCTGGATGCACGAACACTTTTGAGGGTACGACTGAGCCATATCTGACATTGTCTCTGACCAATGATGTGGTTCACCTCGTAATTTTCATCCAGGGGTACGGAATCAACCAGCGCAACTGAGTTTGCTGATAATAGTTTTTATACTTTGCTTCCATCATTCTTTGACCTCTCTTGACTCGTTTCCACACTTCACGTGGTTGTGCGAAGAGAAACCTTCAAGGAAGTCGGTTGACTGGCATACGGAGCACGTGGCCAAGCCATCACAATCTGTGGAGAGTGGTCAGTTGATCTGTGCTGGGCGAGTTATTTCTTCCCAAAACCATTGGGTGAATTGCAGCATTACTGATCTGTCCCTCCCACCAAACACGGGCAATGCTCCGAAGATATCGATGGTCGAACACTGAAATTCTTTTTACGCCCTCGGCACGCAACGGCCATGTTTCTGATCCATCTAGTAATATGGAGCACACCGCGGCATTGTAAACTCGATCCTCGATAGTGAAGATGATGTCCAGCCCACGCAACAGGTGACACAGATTGACTAAAGCTGCTCTGGCCTTCCTAATCCGGATGGAAATATCTTTGCGAGACCTCCTGAAAGACCCTACAGAAATTCCACAAGGAATGTTTACTGCGGACTCAACCTATAAATTACAGCTGCATGGAGGAATGAATGCACGAGGGTACCCTCGAGTTCGTCTAGGGACAATTTCCTGGCTGGTCCCGATTTACAAGGATTACTTTCTTAGATGATGCGTAAGCAAGACAAGAAGACGTGAGCAATGACCTGGTGGTGTTTCAGTTGCATTATTTAGCTGTGAACAAAGTGCATATAACAACATCAAGGGAGAGAGGCACTAGAAGAAAAGTAAGCATAAAACTTGGGTTCATGTAGAACATAAGTTTCACGGAAACTCGGGTACTGCGCCGACCTGATGAGTCCCAAGAAGGGCGGAACCGGTCATGAGCTGTCCAGTTTTCAGCAACCCTATGAGTAGTTCTCTTGGCGAAAAGTCAACTCGATTTACCCTGCGGAATATTGAGCCACTGTTAGGGCGTGCATGATTTTTCGGTTCAGTCGTTTGGCTATACGCTTACCTCACCCTTGGCTGCCAGATTTCCTTTACTAAGCCTACATATTGGGTTGCTTACCAGAGTCTTAAACGCTTAGGATAACAGAACCAGTGACTCTGGTAAGCGACCTATGATCAGTGATGCATTATTTGTCGGACGGGCAGGTTATTTTTTTACGTGAGGCGACAAAATACTCTAATTGTGTAAGTATTTTCAAGAATTTTAGATTTCATTGGGGGGCGGGGTATTGTCGCGTAAATCTGGGTGGCTAAGAGGAATATCCCTAATTAAAGCAAATGAACACCGCGCCTGGAGAATCCACAGAAGAATTCGATAATTTCACCTCCTAGTAGGAAGTTGAGCACTCTCACTTTAAGTTAGTGATGGCCGAAAGCAAGGCCCCATGTTTTCTGCCTGACGCAGAATCTCGCAGGAAATTTGGGAGAAGGGAAATTGATAGAGGATGTCTTGGGAAATGAAATCACACTCGGAAAAACGGACTGCTGCACATTTGTCCTCTCTTTTCCCTATTGTTTGCTCGCCCGAATTTTTTCTCAGATCATTGAAAATAAGTCAAACCCGTTTTCCCATTCTTTAAGTTGACCTTAAACCACACTTCGGGTTTTTCATCCTTTATCCTTATGCTGCCTCATCTTCAGACTTTTTTTGGTCCAATGTCCTACCGAATGCGAAATAGGGCCATATGCGGCACTCCTCTGGCGGATGACACACTACAGGATAGTTCATACCAATCACGCTCGATCGAGCTACTATAAGGTGCATATTTCTAAAGGGCCGTGAATCAAGCAGCTGGGTAAAAATATGGCGCAAGGTCATTCCATTGAGTAACCTAGCCTACTAATTGCTTCAAAACTGCTTAAAATGTGATGACATCATAGAACGCAACCTCAGGAGCTCGTTGATAAATGCTGAGTCCACCACCACCTTACCATTGTAAACATTATAGTCCTTCCGTATCTGCCATTTTCGCTGCGTGGTTGGGATACAAATAATCTCGACACTAGTGGGAATCATGGAACACTTACCGGTTAAAGTGTTCTGGTAGAGTTCCGCAAAGATAGAAAAATTTCTACGGTAACTATTGAGGCTGAACTACGACGAAATCAGGAGGAACAAACGCCCCAGAAAAGACGTGGAAGCAAACGAATTCGGTAGAGGTTTAACCTAATCCTCGTGAACAATTGTCCATACCAAGACGTCGATGCCCTCACAAAGCATTAACACTGGCACTTCCTATCATCAGGCGGATTGACCTAGCAGTTCTTGTTGACCTCATCCGAAATAACGATGGACGAAGTTCAGCTTGACGCTCCAGATAAGAGGTGACGGCACCTTTTCCTCCTTAATCGGTTGTGTGAAGTGTCCCGCAGGATTTTGTCTTTTGCACGAAGAATAAGAAGATAACTCAAGTCGAACACAGTCGTTTTCCCTTCGCTTCACTGCTTCGCAGTCTATTGCGCAAGAACTTTCAGCCAAATGGTATTCATAATGGAGAACAACACGTTCTTTGGTAGACAGTCGATCGAGTTAGGAGGATCTGATGAAACTTACTTGTTGCTCTGGCTATTCTGATTCATTGAAACTTGCACGCTTAAGCACCATTCATTGGGATTACACTGCAGCTAGACAGCTTCTGTTACACTGAAAAATCTTTAATAACCACACATTTGAAGACAGTGTAAACCGGCGGGGTCTCAAGTCAAAAGAGGATTTCAAGTAAACCTTTTTTCAGAGCGCAGATCTATAATCACCGAGTGATTCAGTTGGGTTCCAGGCGAGTCTCCTGCAAAAACAAATTGGCTTGCAAGTGAGTGTAGTTCGCTAATTTCGTGCAATGAGGGTTCAAGTAGAACATAAAGTTGACGGGAACCCGAGAACTGTGCTTACCTGATGAGCCCCAAGAAGGGTAAAATTGATCATGGGCTGTCGAAGAGTTTTCATTAACCTTACCAGTAGTGTATTACGACTGTAAATATTACATCATAATCACCATCATCACCAACGGAGACAATAAAAACACTGTTGACACTGCAGCAGAAAAACACAATTTATTTAATTATATTTGAAGCCTTATAGCGAAGTCGAAGGGCAGGGCTGGGTGGGGGAGGGGAGCTGGTACTGGCCTATCGTAAACATTCTTAGATGCCTACACCTCCAAGAGCTCAGTCAGCCACTAACACCGACCATCAGCCATTTCTTTTGATGTCTCCAATCGAGCGCCGGGATGGGGATCACGGGCACCTCATCCTGCAGGTGGAACGCACTGACAACAGGTAAACTACTAATAGCATTCAAGCCCTTCTGCCAAGCCACACATTGTCCATCACGCAGTTTGCGGCATTCGGAAGGAATAATAGAGAGCAACATTCTGTCGATAAACGATGCTCCGGCAAGACCACGAGAAACAAGAAACTACGACTAAGATTACCAAATTCTACACACAAAAAACACCTGCTTTCTGTTGAAACAACAACAGCAAAGGATGAATAAAATTAGGGTTGTTCGGCTTAACGTTATCAAGAAGACATAGATCCAGTCAGTGGTAACGGAGTACTTTGTTTAGGGAAATCATCACCGCAAGACTTTCGACGGGTATTTCATGCGGCCAGTCTACGCCGAAAAGCCGAGGTGTACAGCTCTCTTACCCTCCGTGCGAATAATCAACTCTGCGCACATCACGGAAACCCAGGGGGTCTCACTTTCTTTGTTTAGGGAAATCATCACCGCAAGACTTTCGACGGGTATTTCATGCGGCCTGTCTACGCCAAAATGCCGAGGTGTACAGCTCTCTCACCCTCCTTGCGAATAATCAACTCTGCGCATATCACGAAAACCCAGGGGGTCTTGAACTCGTGACCTCCTGTCGAGTAGTTTGAACACTTCACCGTTAGACCACTAGCAGCCCGGAATTATCTGTTCAATTTTGCTATAACTTTGTACACATATGCCCACCAATACCGAGGATAGTCTACTGCCACAGAGAAGTTTACGAGCTGTTTTCTCCGAGCTATCTTTCATTCCCTGTCCTCTTTTGCAATCGATTTTCTTGCCTCTTTGTGTTATAGGTAGTACAATAAAATCCCTGCCAGCTACCTTAACCCAGATGGCGGAAAAGCCTATGAGACGAACGCTTATTCCAACCAATACCTTTGCAGCCGGATCTCATCTATTTTCCGAGCCGATGCTAGAAAGTCGCCGCAGAGAGTTCGTTCAGACGCGGGGTTATCCTGACTGTTTGTTACACCAGACGAAACAGCATATTGCTCAGATGGAATCTGGTGAGAATTTCCTAACCAACTTATTTATCAAATTCTCTAGACCTGTGTGATAAAATCGCCCAGCTTGAATATCTCCTACTGCTTCCTTACTGTTGCAGACCAACCAGAAATTGCTACAAAGTATCAACCAGTTGAAGACAAGAATGAACAGGCACACGAGTCCCAGCATAACTCCCACGGATCGGTGGCTACAGTGGTCAGCCATTCCAAGTGGAGAGAGGGGAACAGTGAATTTTCAGAAACCAACGCAAAGAAAGACTACATTAAGGAACTATTGGACGATGCTTGTTCCAGGAAGATGTTGGGGTAAGCCACTCAGTCTCTGGTGGTCGGTAATCTCATCAGTGACAGGCTAGTCCTTTTCATGGGTGTCCCCACTTCTCATAAGCATTCCTTGAGCTGTCTACGGGTAGAAAAATGTCAGGCGTGAAAATATATGCGTCCTCCCTACAGAACCTCTGTGACATTTTACTTCAGGCGTTTGGAATTGTTGTCACGGATAACTGATTTCTGATTGTGAATGAGTTTCATTTAGAGTGAACTAGCTGTAGTGATGGCTAGGCCAGGCATCATGAAGAGTTCATGTGCGTTGGGTAAATATTTAAGGTTCTATCAATGATCGTACCTGATTGACTAGGAGACATAATGTAGCCTTACATGTACGCTTCCCAGTCAATCATATATTCTTAGACTATACACAAACTACTAAAACCCAAAAGGTCCGAAATGTTTGCTTTGTTGAGCTCGTTCAAACGAACGACATTATTCGCCCTGCTATGTGAGTAAGTTTTCTATCTATTATATCTTAGTGGGGTTAGGAAAAACCATTTTATTTTTTAAGTAGCAGGAAATTTCGGACTTCGTGCTGTCCAGGTAGCATAATGGATAAGATTGTGGAACGTTATCCTGTCCACCCGGGTTCGAAAGCTAAGTGCCTAATTATAAATCACCAGCTATCTACATTTCTTACATATTTCAAATGAAGGACCAAAGTCCTTCATAAACCAAGGATGGTGAGGCAAACCCCCTTCTTCCTGTCTGAGGATCATCAGTAGTCCACATCTCACGCACTTCAAAGAAAATTCTGGATTTTTGCTGATTAATCCGTAATTGAGTTACAAACATCTGTTTCGTCGGCGTCAGCAATTTACAGCCAAAAAAATTCTGCGTGAAAAACGCATGCAATTTAAAAAAATTTGACTGAAATTGATGTGGTAAACCAGTTGGTAGACTAGTGACAACCTGTCAACAGGATTTAATAAACTTGACTGTCCATCACAGGCTGTCAGTTCATATTGACTGAAGGATTACAGATCGGAAAAACAGTTAACCTTAGGAAGTAAGTTCAGACTCATTACAGTGAATCTCAAAAGTCTACTGACCCCCGTTCAGATTTTGGAGGACTTAAAAGCAATCTCTAGAGTGTCGTCTGACTTTCACAACCATTCATATAGAAAACTTATAGCTGCGCCCAAAACTGGTTTACCTAAAGGACCAGTGAACTGCTAGTGCACAGGATGTAAGCTGAAGATTTTTACCGCAGGTTTTGGTTCGGGGCGTAGCCCAATAGCTCCTAGTTTAGTTTGTAAACTTGTGTCTGCGAAAATGGCCGTAATATTTTGTCGCATTGTTTCTTCCAAGCTATCCGCGATATGAATTCCTGATGGAAGTGAATAGGACCGAAGATCACAAGAAACAAGGCACAAAATCAGTATCAAATACACGTACGTTGTGCACTCAGTTTACTTTGCCTTTTTGTTATTTATAACGCCGCATGCAGACCCCGGCACACGAGGAACAGTTGACTTGTGATTAAAAATCACAAGATGGTTTTGATGGGAGACTCAAATGAATCCCAGCTAGACCTATCGTTTATGATATTCTTCAACTCAGTATGGTGCACAAAGGCCGTCTCTTGCTTCAGTTGGTACCCTATTCGAAATATCGCAGTATATTTTCTAGACAGAACACTGCTTATACGGTCGCCGAATGCTCCTCAATAGTCCACAACAGGTATCGCCTCTCTTGTAGTTCAGCTTTCGTCGACGTTATACTCCACTTAAACACCAATACAATTGCAAAATTAGTGCGTTTCTTTAATTGCGTTCAACACGGGTTTAAACAGAACCTAAATCTGATGGAACCTTGGGGACCGCGCTTACCTGATGAGACCCGATATGGGCCAAACGGGTCATGGGCTGTCGAAGAGCTTTCAAACACCTTACGAGTAGCGTTTTATGTCTATACAATGCATTGCGAATATCTTACCAAATGAAACATGAAACGGCCTGGTGCAGTACATTCAGCTGAAGAACAATACTCCAGACGTTCCATTCAGCTGGGATTCAGGTGAGTCTCTCGTGTATTTGATCTTCTTGGACTGTCACGAGCACCGAAATAGACCCATGGAATAAGAGAGTAAATGAAAGCTCCAACGGACAAACACCAACTTAGTCACGGAATAAGTCATACACACCTCAGTGCTTTCAATAACAGATGCCGAGCACCCATCTCTTGAAATTCTGTCTCCCTTTGTCTGTGTTGTTCGGTAAACCTAAAATAGAGAAAAATTTCGCAGGATTGTGGATTAGTGTCCACTTCGTTATTAGTGGCTATAGCATGCATCAGTGGTAAATTTATTCCGGAAGAGAGCCACGGTCACAAATACTTGAGATCGAGGTCGTCAGAGACAGGCTTATAGGACTCTCTCGCATGAGTGATGACGGAAAGGATAATCATCTGTCGAAATGATTCAGCTTATCCGCTAGGTCGCAGTGAGGGATGTTTAACTCAGTGAGGACTTTTAGGGTTTTTCTATAGTTTACCTCCGAAGGACTACTAAAGCTCTTAAGTGTGAGAAACTGATGCTGGATACCAGATTGATGACTTATATTTTGACTCGAGCAAAGTGATCTTTCAAGTACCACGTTGTCAATGATTCCTTACTTTGACATCCCAGGCAGTGTGGGAAAAGCAAAATTGCACACCGAAGACTCTGTCATCAGATGCGCACTTTAGTTCAGAGTTAATGACCCTCTGATTCAGTGTCTTGCATCAGCGGCGTTCCTAAAGGATTGTTACTCGAACTAAAACTCTTCAGTGTGTGCGAATGAGCTACTGGGTGAACTAAAACTTCCTAACCTAGTGCTTACGGATGACTTCAAGCCGTTTGGCTGTCAATAACAACTACAATACTGACATGCTCTAAACAGCTTCAAACTTCCTTCACACATGCATTCACCTACTGATGCCTCCATCAATCAGCACAAATACTATGTGCTACCAAGCAGACTTTGTTTACCAAGAGACGGCGCACTGTCGTGGTTGCCATATGCTGCTG